TTCTTCTTCTTCTTCTTCTTCTTCTTCTTCTTCTTCCTCTTTTCTTCTTCTTCCTCTTTCTTTTTACCCCCTAGTGTTTGGGATCAAGCCCAGGACTCTGCTATAGCACGCAAGTGCTCTCTTCCCAGCCTGGACTTGTCTAATCACCCTCTCTGCTAGACTGTCCCACAATGCCTGTACTTACTGTCGCAAGCTGGAAACACAGCCCGCTCTTCAGCATATTTTGGTTGGCCCGCAGTGTCACTGAGACCAGTGCCATGCGTACTGTGTGTTGAGGAAATTATTCTTTTCCACCAAATGATGTTGTGCCCTGGTTGACAAATCAGTGAACCATATGTGTAAGGGGTTATTCTGGACTCTGGGAGGAAACGTGAACGTCCCTTTGCATATGCAGGCTCACTTAATAGCTCCACCTAAAGAGCACAGCATTCAAATGAGACTAAAGCAGCCCTAAATGAAAGCTCTACACACATTCAGCTGATCACAGGAGCACACAAAACTCAGGGAGCCTTAATAAAAAGATGAACTAACTTGTGAGTGACTTCACTGTTGTCAAGAAAAATGCCAATTCTCTTTAAAAGGAATAAAAAGTCCAGCAGCCCATATGCACCAGAGAGAAGAGAAACTGAAAAAATACAGTAATATAAAAATGGATCTCAGTGTCTCACAAAATTGATGAGAAGTGTAAATCCACAGATCTAAGACACGCAACTAACTCCAAACAGAACAATCTCTTCTGTCTCTCCCTTTTCTTTCTTTTCCCTCTCACACACTCTTGCCTGCACAAAGACTCATGGTAGTCAAAGGATTGAAGGCTAGTGATAAAAATTGGGAACCAGCCATCATGGTGGTGTGTGTCTGTCATCGCGGCACTTGGGAGGCTGAGGCAGGAGGATCATTGCAAGTTCAAGACCAGCCTGAGCTATAATGTAAGCTAAAGGTCAGCTTGACCTGCATAGCTAGACCTTGTCTCAAAAAAAAAAAAATTAGAATCATCCAGCAACAAAGAGCAAACTACAAAGAAAGAAGTAAAATGATAATTCCAGCAGTTTTCTCATAGGAAATTATGGAAGTCAAAAAAATTTAAGTGGAAGAACATGTTAACCTAGAAATCCACATAAATGCCGATTCTGACAGAATTTTCTTCCCAAACAAAAGGAAATAAAAACTTTTCCTGCTGAACAACAGCTGTGAGTGCGTCTCACCAGAGTATCTGTACTTTAAGAAATGTGTAAGATATTCCAGCAAAGGGAAACAATGCTCCGGAGAAGCTGGGTGCACACCGAGGAGCGAAGACCAATGAAAACGCTCCAGGTCTGCCGCACTGACAGCAACCACACAGCCAAGATGAGCGGGCACAGGGAAACCGCACCCTGAGCTGCCCGCAGACCTGGCATCCTGGGCTCTTCAAGGATGCGGAGGATGGAGGAGGTGGCTGCTGTGTGAATGGGCACAAAGAGTTTATTTTTCTAACAAAAAAAAAAATCTTTATTTTTAATTTTTTTTTCCTGATACAGAATCTTGGCATGCAGTTCCAACTGGTAGTGATCCTCCTGTCTCAGCCTCCCCAGTGCTGGGATTACAGGTGTGTGCCACCACACCTGGTTCCTGAGCCAGCACAGCATGTGGTACTGGGAATCAAACTCAGGACCTTGCACTTGCCAGGCGGGTGCATATGCCTCCGAGCTATCTCCCCAGCCCTTTGCGGAACCAGGGATTGAACTCAGGCCCTCGCACTTGCCAGGTAAGCACTTATTCTACTGAGCTATCTCCCCAACCCCCCAAAAAACCTCTTTAAAACTTGATAGGATTATAGAGAAATGTATTACCGTATTGATAAAAACATATAAGGCTGAACTGTGAGCTCATAACAATGTCTGTACTATAATTCAGGGTAGGAAAGCAGTCCATTTCCTCTCCTTCCCTCCCAACCATTCCATTGGAACCCAAGGGTGAGGCCAGAGTTGAAGGAAGAGGGGATTTTGGAGGGGAGGCAGAGTCCAGCCAACTCCTTGCTCCGTGTTCCCCAGCCCTGGGCAGGGAGGAGTGTCAGTGCGTGGAGCCCTGGTGGTTCTTCTTCGCCCATTAGAGACCCGCAGCCTAGGCCTCATGCTCACTGTAAGGCCCTGCCCCCTCAGAAGCCCGCACACCTGTGGGAGAAGATGAGAGCCCTCTGCTGTGGAAGGTTTGGCCCAGGAGGACGAGGTGGGTGAGGACACTCCAGGATTCGGGGGCTGAGAGCCTAGGGCACTGGAACAGCTCGCTCACCTGGTGTAGTAGAGCCGGGTGAGGCCATAGGTTAGAACGAAGCCGATTCCCATGAGGGTCCCCCTAAGCAGGGTGAGGACTACAGGCCAGTAGTCCTGCTATTCCCCACAGATTTGGGAGCACGGACAGGAGGTGCCTGGAAGGAAGGAAAGGGGGAGATGGAGGTCTGATTCCCCACCCACAGCACCGTTCTGAGCACAGGGGTCCAGCTCTTGCTCACCCTGCACAGCCAGGCTCAGGGAGATGTGGCGGGAGCCCAGTGGGTGCTCGGCCCAGCAGGTGAACTCTCCTCCATACTCTGCAGCCACCCAGTGCAGCTCCAGGACCCCAGAATCCAACGTCTGGGGGCGCTCAAGGTGAAATTTCCCCGCGTCCAGCTCAGCCTGGCCAGAGGGCTGCTGTCAGCGTCACAGGCCAAGCGCAGGGACTGGCCCTCTTGGACTCGCAGTGTGGTGCTGTTGCCCAGCAGCTGTGGGACTAAGAGGGAGAGAGCCAGAGGGCAGGGCTGGGAGGCCCTTCTCTCCCTGGGTCCTCCCTCAGATGTGGGGATGGAGAGCAGCAGCTCTGGGGGAGCCAGGCAAGTGAGGATGGGGAGCGGCAGGACCCGTGCAATGGAAGTGCAGGTGGAAGGAGCAGAAGAAGCGGGCACAGCTGGGAGATGTGAGGGAGCGGTGGCACATCAACATGAGGGTGGACAGCAGGAGAGTGGGCCTTGATGCACAGGCCCACATCCATACTAACAGGCAGGCGTGACCTCTTGGAGGAACTGCGGGAAGTGGTGCCTTTGGGGCTTCTCCCGAGGGAGCCCCCGGGTGGATCTGAGCGGGGCAGGGGCAGGGTCACATCTGGGTGCAGAGAGCTGCCCTTGGGTGCAGACAGTGCCCAGGTTACTAGAGTGCTACTAGCTCAGTGGGGAGGCTTGAGCAGGTCCTGGTGAGAAGGGCCCGGATGGAGGAAGGAAGCAGTTACATGTTGTCCAGAAGTCAAGATTGCACAACTCGGGCTGGGGAGTTAGCTCATCAGCTTAAATGCCTGCCTGGCAAGCACACAGCCCTGAGTTCACTCCCCAGTACCAGAAAAGAAAAAAAAAAAGAAAGAAAAAGAAGAAAAAGGAAAGAAGAAGAAAGAAAGAAAGAAAGAAAGAAAGAAAGAAAGAAAGAAAGAAAGAAAGAAAGAAAGATTGCAAAACTCACTGACTCATGCTGCTGGTGAGAGTCAGAGGTCTAAAGCAGTTTCCAGGGTAAGGACTCCATAACCCAAGGGGAAGGGCTCCCCCAAAGGAAGTGTGCTAAG